TGTTTTGTTCAACTACCAGCAATAGAGAGATATTATATCTCTGATATCTTAGAGTTATTTTTTAACTCTGACTTAAAAAAGCTAAGAGTGCTACAGAAGACATTATACAACTGTTTTCACAAGCTGAGTGACCTTAAGTCAAATAAGATAAGTAAACTGATGTTAATGTGTCTATTATTAATCATTAATTAAGGGTTTTTAATTCATCAGGTCTGCTGTCTGATACTTGGATTTTGGTGAAACACTTTAAACCTTAAGGGGATTTTTCACAACCTGGCAACCCAAATGTGTTCTTATCTCATTCATGGCTTATAATTGATCTCTAAAGCTTTAGCAGATAATAATACTTTACTATTAGTTACCAAAGCTACTAATTATAACTCATAAACCTTTTATAAATAGCACCTTATTGGAAAGTGGTAGGCTACTAACTTTAGAAAACACCACCACCCACCTTAGCCAACCTTTTAAAGTCTTATCAGTACACGCTATCATCGCTCTCATTTCAACTAAGTAACATCTTTAATTTTTATTATATCATGAGGTCAGACGCTATGACAGCTGCTGATTTCACCCATAAGGCCTTGCTGCATCCATGCTGTGTCATGATCACCCACCTACAGTACATGGGCCAGTTTCATGTTTCACCAGGGACCGAAATACTCCCCGGAGCCGAGTAAAAGAAGGCAAAGACACGGCAAGACGGTCTTTATAAACATGACTTATTGATTAGAGAGAGGATGAATCATTGATACGCTGAGTCCTGAGAGACTTTATTATGTGTCAGTCGTATCCATGTAAACTGTGGGTGTGACTGTAATGTGAGAGTGTTTCAAATAACGTCTTCTCAGGATGGTTTCACAGCGAGGAGGAGCGGTGCAGCATCTGGCATGTGTGATGTGTTTGTCCCCTCGTAGGTAGAGAAAAGAGACACACACACATATTCAGACTCATAAATACATGGAGCCCCAAAGTGTTCAGTATTAAACAGATAATAATCATTATGACACAATTACATGCATAAATTGTGTCAAATATAAAGAAAATCATTTGTACAATCCATGTTCAGAAGTTAATAAACTTTTATAAGGTTTCATTTTTATTAAATGGTGTTTTTTTTTATTGTTTTCATGCTTTTTTCCGCTCACATGCTACCTGCCTCTTAAACTGGCAAGCTCAACAAATGCTATCAGATTTAATTTAGTTAATATTTATTAGCTAGAGCAACAATATTAAAGTGACTGCAAATACACAGACACAATATAACCTCTGCTTTTATTTAGCTTATTAAGTCTGCTAATGCTACCCACCTAGCTGGCTAACTAGCTATTAGGTTGTGAGTTTATAACATTAGCAGCAGCTAATTAATGGCAGCTGGCTGATTCACAGTTAACTCAGATGTTCCTCAGAGAAAGACACGCGACTCTGTGCAGAGCGAAAAGACAGACAGACGTTGCTCTTGCTAACAGGTGCTCACTAGCTAAATGTGGTAGTATTTGTTGCGCACGCTAGGAGGGATGTGATTGGCTTAAAAGTGACATTGGTGACATCACTGCTGTCATGAAAAATTACACTATGTGTATCCAATAAAAGTGTTATTATGAAAATAAGAATATTAATAATCAGTCAGAGTTTTAATGATTTTCCTGAATTCTTTCCAGAAATTGTTGGTTTGCACAAATTTGTTCAGATTATTATGTGTTTATTTAATATTGAACACTTCCATACAAAGAAGGCACAAAGGAAGTATATTACTTATATTCATTGGTGTATGTGTAGAAGGATGAAAGGCTACATATGGAGGCAGATCACGCAGATTCTGGATGTATGTAAACATTAAAATGACCCGACGTGAAACCTCAGTTTAATCGGAGCCGTCATGCAAAGAAATGTCACCAAGAGTTTTAAATATAGAACATTTTATTCCAATTTTGAGTAAATGAAGTTGAAATTCTTGAAGTAAAGGTTTTAATATCAACAGGACCTTTGCATTTAAATAGTAACACTTTACATGCCTTCATCCAGTGACAATGAAAAGCTTCCTTAAAAAGTTTTTTTGTCATTTATTTTTCATATTTCCCTTGTAAGAAATAGTTCAAGTATAAAAATTCCCAACAGTGTAAAATAGCCCATCTGATGAATATTAAGCAAAAGAAGCACAGCTACTGAAACCTCGACGACGACTATACATTCTAGTGGAGAAAGCAGCATTTTCGCTTGTTTTTTGTGAAAATTGTTATTATTTTTTCCTCTCATCTAAACACAGAAGAGGCAGAGTACAATCTGCATGCAAACAGGCCTGCATTTAAATAAAGTTTCTTCCCTACAAAAGGCATAAAGGCATTAAGCTAATATGTAATGTCATGTTCTAAAGAATCAAAAAGATAAAAAATAAAAGTACAGTGCACATAACAGTATCTTAAATAACTCCTACATCAACATTTTTGGTTGAGTATGTTAATAATAATAATAATAATAATAATTATAATAATATTATTACTAAAACTAATCAATAACTTATATATGCCTTGAGATGAGTACATAATGATATTAATACAGTACCGCCACTAAGTCTCTACTCTCAGAGCGTCAACATAGTCAACTCTCAAAAATAAATATCTTAAATAGAAGATTTCTCTCTTTTTTTCATTTTTTTTTTCTCTCTTAAATAGCAGTAAAAATTTTAAGGCACACAGACCAACATAATGTCAAAGAGTCAAACCCCCCGTCCTCTCTCCACCCCACCTGGTGTTCTTGACAGACATGAGGCAGGCCAGTTGTTGGGGTGGCTTTGGTTGAACGTGTGTGTTTGTGTGAGTGTGTACCTGACACCAGACTACAGCAGCACAGAGGTGGAAGTGCTGACAGCTGCAGAGCTGAATGACTGAAGGGGGGGAGGGGGGGGAGTGGGTGAGGCTATGCTGTGGGGCTCTGTGCTGGGTGGAGGGGTGTGAAGTCGGTTCCCAAATGGGCCCGGCCTGGGGATTAAAATGTGACAGCTCAACAAACGAGCACAAGTGATGCGTTCTTTCCAGAGTGATCTGTCTGTGTGGCGCTGGAGCGGCTCTGTCCACCCCCACCAGCAGCTGCTCTCTCCCTCTTTCTTTCTCTTTTTCTTTCTCTCCATCCCAGAGCCACAGAGAAACACACAACTGTGCTGCCTTTGTCTTTGACTGCTATGTGTGCAACTCTGGATGCATGTGTGTCGGTGTACGTGTGAGTGAAACATGTGGAAAAGCGACTGATTTAGTGTTTCTCATTGTCTGAAGCCATTTTCAACCTCTCTCCTTTTGTCAGTGCGTTTTGTTTTGTTTGCCAAGTCCCTCTTTAGTCCAAGAATCAAGTCAGAGTTGATGACGTTTTCAGTTTTTTGTTTCTTTTCTTTGTTGTTTTTGTCTCCTGTTGATTTGTTTGCTTTGCATAGGTCAAGAGGTCGAGACACATAATAAAAAAAGGGACATTCAGCATCAGGAAGATAAAAAGGTAGTTCTTCAAATATGTGTGACACGACGAGTTACGACTCTTCGACTTCCTGACAGAGGTCACATAATAATAGCTAACACGTTGGAAACGGTTCCATTTCCCTGATTATCAGAAAATATTAACTCCAAAAAATGCACTTGACAAGACAAAAAGAACAAGAAGAGCCCCCAATGTGTAACAGTAACAGTAATAAATATAAATGTTATGAGGGCATCAAATAACCAAAAACACTTGTGGAAAACCACAAATGAAAAAAAGAGAACAGTTTCCTAAACTAACGTTAAAGACAGCAATAGGACTTAAAGGCTTAGTTTAACACCTATACCACAGGGATTAGTTCCTGCATTTCTTCTCTAGAAATAAGTACTCTACTACAATGATAATAGTAATGATAATAATAATAATAGTAATAACAACAACAATAATAATAGTAAATCACTTTCCATTATTTGTTCTGCGACTTTTTTTCATTTTCTCATTTTTTGGTTGAAGCACAGCAAGTTGGAAAGTTACTGTAAAAAGTTCCCACCTCACCATCATCATCATCATCATCACCTTTTTTAAAGCAACTCTGCCTCTGAGTCGCTGACACGCCCACCCTTACGGCCACTCCCTTTTCCTTTTCCTTCGCTGCTCCTTCTCGTGACCAATCAGCTGTGGCGGGGGGTGGGCCTCCTCCTCGCTCTGCATGTCCAGTGGTTGCAGTGGCTGCTATTGCATGCGGTCAGCTTGCAGCTGCTGAGGCTGGTACTGACCGAATGCAGCGGCTGCCGCAGCGGCTGACCCCGGGGCAGCGGTGGCTAAAGGCTGCTGGACTGCATAGCCATAGC